GGGGGGGGGGGAGGGGAGGGGAAGAAAGAAAATAACTTGTTTCAGCTTTTTTTTCATTAGTTTGGGACCTGAATGGCTGAAATCCCAAAGTGGAATGGAAAGAATACCTAAACCATTTTGGAACTAGCCTTTACCTGGAGAAAGTACACAAACATCTGTCGGTGATCAGGGAAGGTGGGAGGAACTGCACAAATTTTGTCCTACGAAAACAAGAAAAATAAACTATTGTGTTAAGGAAACATATTGTTATAGTATAAAATTATGTTAGAGGAGGGTAGGGCAGGTAAGGAAGAAGAGTTCAGCATGGTTCCTCATCACTGTGATCCTTCAGTTTCTCCAGAGGTCATGTATTAGCATGGCTAGAGCAAAGCAGGGCCTGGAAGAGAACAACTGAGTAAGGAGAGCACTGAAGATTCATGTTGTCCGTGCAGAACTGAGGCGGCAGCAAGGACATAGCACTGGAAAGCTAAGAATTCCAGAGTCAGCTGAACTGGCTTAGGCTCTACAGCAATGTGGAACATAAATACAGGTATGAAACTGAGAATAAAACCGTGTAGAATTAGACACAGTTTATAATTAGAAGCTACAGCTGTCAGAGAAGATATGAAATCATATTTCATACTTAAACATTGATACTAGGTATAGAAGAGTCTGCCAAAGCCAAAAGAGGAGGTTTGAGATATGGCTATGGTGGTACAGATACCCTTGCTGGAAGAGGTTAGTCTGAAGGTGACAGGGAAGGGTGTAGGACCACCAACCTCACCATCATCCATCACTTCCATACGGTTTAAAACAAGCTTTGACACTCGCTGAGTTCTATTATTTGCTGACAGCAGTTTCCTGCTGAGCAATGTGGCTTAGAACAATTTGGGCTCTTTAGTAAATTGGCTTTCTGTTCTTATAACCCCCATCTATGGGATTATGGCATTATTAAATGGAATTAAAGTGCACTGGCTATTGTTTACAGCAACACACAGCTGAAGTCAGTCGCAAAGCAGAAGGCAGCAATCACCTGACATTAGTAGGGCTATGCTATGCCTATCATCTCTGGACATTAGGTTTTTAATTTAGCAACTACCAGCTTTCAGCACTGTCAGAGAAAGTATAAATTTTATTATATTAAACAAGAGCAGAAACAATGAAAGCAAATACTTTATTAATAGAAACAAATACTGAGAGAAAAGGCTGAAAGGAAAGTCAGCATAGGAGCAGGCTCCCTATAACTCAAGGTCAAACCCAGATCAGAACTGAGAGTGTGATCAAAAAATCAGCAATAAAAAACACTTGATAGCATTTATGCCACAGACTTAGATGCAATTCTGGAAGCTTCACTGTTCAAGTGCCAGAAAATCCACTGTGAGCTAGGATCTGCAAAATATTTTCTTACTGGAGAAAGCAAGAACCAAAGACAAGCCCCTTCCTTGTCTTGACACAACCTTGAAAGTAATCTGTTGGAACAGGTTCATGGAGGGCAGATTCAAATTCGGTTTTAAAAACAAAGGCTCTGAAACATGAAGGAAAGTGGATTAAGGCCTCGATTTTTCTGGGTACTCCAAATTCTTTTTAAAGTCAAACCCATTTATTTTAAATGGCTCTAGAATGGGGGTTTTGCTGACCCCTAATCTGTAGAAACCTCTTTTTCAGCTGTGACTGACAAAATAACAGAAGTCTGCAAGGCTTTAAGAAATATGATTTGTATTTTAATTGAGACTTGCAAAACCATCTAAGTAAAAAAATGCAACAAAAGGCAGCCAAAAATCCCAGTCTTTTCTTGTCTAAATAAATCAAACCAGAAATTAAGAGCAAATTAGGAATTTAGCAGTTACAACCTAGCAGTTGGGTTAGGTTTTTCCAAATTACAGCCCATACCATAGATAAAAATTAAACATGTCTCCTACAGCTTCATTTTATGCATCTCTAGGAATTTGTCAGGTATATTACTACATATTTTTCTCCAAAAGTTTCTTTTAAAGACAATTTTCATCAAAATTTGCACATTACTAAAGACAAAGCAGCAATCCTACTCATTCATTTCTGGCACAAAGGAAATGAGAAGGCTTTTGCCTGGGCATGATGAGTTGGGGACAAAGGTGGTATTTTGGCTTGGTTAGATTTTCTTTGTTTAATTTAAATGGTCACTGAGACATTGCCAGTTCTCCAGAGAGTGGCCACCTTGGCTGGTTTATTGCAAATAAAGAGATATCCCACATCCAAACTAAAATGCCCTACATAACAGCTGCGGTCTTCTGATCAGGTTCGCATCACTCACCTGTAATTTCATTTCCCCTTCCCTGCTGCGTGGCTGTCCAGAGGATGAGAACAGAAATAAAAGTGGTCCTGACCATTGTATTGCCCCTGGATAAGCCCTTCTTATCACTTTGTTTCCAAGGTGCTAGAGCTTGATCGTCCTTACATGTAGCCTTTTGGATTAGGGGAAAAGGTGCTCTGTTTTTTTACCTTTTGCAGTTGGATGATAATTACTGGCAACAGAAACAAAGAGGCTCCAGTGGGAATTTTGCCGGTTCTCTCTCCTTCACACTCTCCCTAGGGAACCTGCATCTTCTGCCTGCTCAGCCTGGCTTCTCCCCTGCCTGACTTTGAAAATGGCATTTCTAAATTGCTGGTTTAGCCCATGTTTATCCTTCTGAGAACCTATTCCCTCTCACACCTTGAACACCTGACAGCTAGGAGCCAGATTTACACACCTCAAATGTCAGATATATGTATCTTGAATTTCATTTCTGTTCATACATCAGGTGATACTATTTTGTAGATCTTTAATTCTGTGCCTTGAAAACAAACTAAGAGTAAAGGCAATTGTCTATGTCAATGTTTTTTCCTGAATTTAAGCTATTTCACTAGCTGCCCTCATCGTGCTCCTCATTTCATTGCAATTTCAGCATCACATAAACCAGAGGAATGCTAGGCAAACAAAACAAACAAACAAACAAACAAAAATATTAAAGCTTACCCAGACTTCAGCTGAAAAACGTTTTTGCAGAAAATGGGAAAATGGGTAGAGGAGATCTTTTCAACCAAAACATCAAAAACCAAAATATATTTTGGTTTGGAAACATTTTCACTGTGTCTAAGGAGAATGTGTACCTTAGCACTCCTCCTCCTGTACATACCAGGATGTCTAGTCAGGCTGTAACCCCCAGGTACACCATTTACATCTATTTCCTGGCAGCACAGGGAGGCAACAGGGAGACCCTGGCTGTAAGCTGTACAGACGACACCATTTGACTTAAAACCCCCACTAATAAATACATTTTTTTTTTAAAAAAAAAGAGGACTTGAGTGAGTGAAATTCAGTTTGCAAACAGAAATCTTTCTCTTCACAACCTATAGGGTTTTTTTCAACAATCTAATTTTTTTTGAAAAAGTGTCTTGATTGAAATTTTTCAGCTAGCACTCACTGAAAAGATCTTTAGCCCTTAGAAATTACTTGGCACCTTCTGTAAGAAGTGTGTGTTCCAGCCAAACTCAAATATAGGTAATGCCATACTGGCATCTGAATTGGATTGCATCTGGGGTCTCCCACTTAGAATCCTAAATCGCTGGATAGGGTTGCCATATGTCTTAAACAGCAGCTGCTTTCTAGAGTTAGCTGTACAACAAATGTCATCATCTTCACCACTGAGGACTTTTATGACTGAAGTATGATCCTCCAAACAGCAGTAAAGGACTAACATCCCCATTCTACAAGAATACATGTTCATCTTTAGGACTATTAAAAAATATGAATAAAACTGAGTATTTACAGCTCAGTCTTATGGCCGGCAGCTGTAGCAGGTTTATGTTCAGGGTAAGGCAACTAACAGCAAGTTGCAACTATTGCAGGAGTGAATGAACTGGTTCCTAAATACAGAATATTCAGAACCTCCTTTTTAAACAAAGTTGTAAGTAAAGTCAGTGGGTGTTTAATCTAAACAAGAAATTGATAGAGAAGTCATGTGTATTTCAGGATTTACCTTGTAATTTTCAAATTCTTTGATTCATATTTGCATTATTTCTTCAGTTACAATCATTCAGGCACACAGCAACTTACTTTGTAGCAATGCAGGTACTGAAAGAGACCATTCAGGCAATTAAGCATCCATCCTGTGGTCTCTACAACCATTTTCACATCTTCCAGACATAATCTTGCACTGCATTAACTGCAGTAAATTTAAGATGATACCCTGCATCCCAGGCAGTAGCATGTGTTCCTCATATTACTGTAGTTGCTGCAATGAGTTGCACTTACTCAGCACAAATTAATAGCATGTCTTGCAGGGAAATTCAATAGATTCATCAATCATTTTGGAAAACTGACCACCTGTACATGCATGGCTCTTTACACATATTTTTAGTAACCATTGGTGTATTTCATAGATACATTTTTGGTCTTCCCTTATTCCTTTCAATTAGGTGTTATCTTAGGACCCCAGTAGGAAATTTGCTCACTCTTGCTTTGGTGGTGAGGAAGGTCAATGGAGAGAGGAACAAAGAATGTTTAGTGAAATAAAAGCCCTGGCTGTGTGGTGCTGGTAGCGAGCTGGACTCCACTCTAGAAGGAGCTCATCACAGTCTTTCTGGTCCAGTCATCTGGAGCTGATCAGGTCTCCTGGCTCTGTTGTTTATATTTTCTGAAGTTACATTTGTAATCTCTGAATTGATCTGAAGTATGCAATTTATACAAAGAAGGTCTGTGCCAATTAAAGCCATGTCAAAATCCATTCATGGATAATTTTACAGGATCAAGAAGCAGACATTTAGAGATGGGATTTGACTCTCCTAGACTGTACTACTAGTAATTGGAATACTGTGGCTGAGAGCAGGCTTTCTCATCATACTTTTTAGGCATTTATTTCTTTATACAGATTCACTTCTGATTTAATTAGTCACTTAGAAGATCCTGATCTTCTTTAGGCTAGGAGTTTGACATAGAAAGGTCAGTTGCTGGAACATTTCTTTTTGCTTTGTATTATTTTGTCTATGAAGATAGATATTTTGTCACTATTTCAGATGGCCAAAATGGTCATGACATTTCAAGGCAGACTGGTTTGCATGCAGGAAACAGAAGTATGCATTTGAGCACCATTGGAATCTGACAAAAGCTGTTCAGTGCTCCAGAAACCAGCACACCTTCCTTTAGATGTATAGGACCTAAAGCTTGAGAACTATTAAATCATTTAACCTGACCTCTCAAAATCAGCTGTCGGTAATTTTCTCCCAGAGACCTCTTCCAGACTCTCACCACTTAAATGGGAATACAGCCTGTCAGTCTGATAAAACCCAGACTATGGCCACAGCAGACTGTGGGAATGGATAGAGGTGCCACCAGTCCCGAGGATCTTACAGTGGAAATAAACTGATTCAGCTCAAGAATGCAAAGACAAAACCATGCTGCTAGCTGACAGTGAAGGTGACAAAAAGTTCAGATGAGACCTGATTTCCATCTCAATTCTGCCGCACAATTGTGTTCCCTGGTGCCTGTGACTTACAGTGATTTTTTTTCTTACCATCAGGGCATCCCTAAAACTGCCCCTGCCGTGACAATTCAGATGTTTGGTAAGGGTTAAACTCAAACCAGTCTTTCCCTTAGCGGGGCAATGCTAAGGTTTCTTTCCTCTTCTCTACTCTTGATCTTTGTGAAGCCTGCAGAAACTTAATTGCCTTTGTGACTGCAGCTGATCTGTCAAAACTGGTTTAAATCAGTCAGCAAGGCCAAAAGGTGTTAGAAGAGAGGAACAGGCTGGCTGAGCCAGAAGTAACCTTTTTGCAGTTAAAGACTAAACAAAATAAATCACTCCTGCCATCAGGATACAGACATATTCCAGCTTCTGAAAATCAATACATATAATGGACACCTTAATGTCTACTCCCTACAGAGAAATTAACTTCTCAGAAACTTTAACCATTCAGCCCTCAGAGTTAAAATTCTGGTCGGTGATTCCAGGGTCTTGAATAACCTGCCCCTGCCACGGACCTCCTGTGGAGCCACAAGCAATTCACACAGGTCAAATTTGCCACTGCAATGAAGTCATGGATGGGGCAGAAAGCCCAGTATTTCAGACCTTGTGAAAGCCAGGGCTACAATACTATAAATACGCTTCTGCTTATGTTACTTGAGAAGGAAGTAGAACGGAAAAGCACCATTTTGCCAGCATATGCTAGGCCTATGTTAGGATGGACAGCAGCTAAACTGGCAATTTTTTGAAGGGGTCCTTGTTTCCCTGAGCTTCAGACACATATCCAAAAAGTGGAATAGTAACATTTGCTTATTTTGCTGATGTGTTTCAGAGAAAAATGCATTAAAGATGAGACATACACAAATGAGAGTAAAAAACCATACACTTAAAGCCCTAAGAGTTAATTAGTTCTGCTGTGCAGGCAGAACAGTCCCTGACTGTATTCAGTGATTTGTTCTGTCTCACCAACAAACTGTTCCTCAGGAAAATCTTTGGGTTTTGTTTTTTCCCTGAACACGCACAAACTGTTTTAAAGTGACTCATGAGGAAAAAGTTCTTATTGGTAACAGGAGGAAAAAATATGAGTCAGGCGGAGGTCATGCTGAACCTCTGCCTGGCCTTGCTCCTCCAACTGAGCGTCGGTTGTGCCGGTTGTGCAATCTCAGCACAGAGAAGCTCTTGTTTGTTCCAGTGCTTTGATGGCATGGTCCCATTCCCAACATCGAGTTTGGTACCAGATGAGACTGTTGATCACACCTCATACATGATTTTGCAGCACTGAAGGGAAGTAAATCCCACCTAAGGCATTTCATAGTGTGCTTCTTAACTCTAAACCCAGGCATTTTTGAAAGAAAGCAGGCAGGCAGCAGGTATTGCCCTTTGCTGTGAAGGCTTACTTGGAAGGAAAGTTAGAAGGTGTCCTGTTCAGCATCATCTCATGGGGTACAAGGGTCAAGACCACCTGAACATCCCATTCAGAAAGAGTCTCATGCCTGGCCTGTATCAGCACTTGGCAACAGGACCAGAGCCCTTCCTCGCTATGTTTTGCTGGATAGACAATTGGCTCCCTGCAGCTAAGGGCCAGGAACACAGCACTGGTACTCATCTCACATTGCCTTGCTGTCTTGATGCCATGGAGCTCAAGAACAGCAACATCTTGCAAACACTAGTGACCAGGCCATGGATGGGCCAGGCTTCACTGGTTTCTGTCAGTGCCACTGCCTGTAACACATTTTTGGCTGAAGGCACCTGCTGCTCCTCTTGGAAGATGGATGACTTCCCATTTCTTATCCCTCCTAAATCCATCTGGTATACACCCGGGATACTGATGTGAAGG